AGGGTTTGGTCACATTATTTACACTTGTTTTGCTGAGTATCTGAATTGATCTTTCTCCAGCAAGTGGGGAACCCTGGACCACAGCCTCGACCTGCTGTGCTCCTGACATCCTTCCGCCTAGCCTTCCAAGTAGCCTGAACTTCAGGCATCTCACCATATTGTCTGGGCTCATCTTGAACTCCTGGGCTCAAGCAATCCTCTTGCCTCAACCTCCCAAAGTTCTGGGATTACAGGCATGAGCTAACTGCACCCAGCCTAAACTTTTTATTAACACCATTTTCTATCAATCCTAAACTTCCCAGTCTGATTGCAAGGCCTTGCCCCTGGCCTAGGTTCCTGGTCAAATTTCCATAGGTCATTTTTCTTTGAGCGTCTGCTTGTTTCCCCTTTTCCTTCTCTTTAAAACATATTACATAGGAAGAATGATTTTCCTCAAGTGGAACTTTAGCCTCTTGTTTCTGGTAGTGGTAGCTACTTCTAAGTCATTGCAGTTAAAACCAAGACTTGCCGGACTCGGTGGCTCACCCTGTAATCCTGTGCTTTGGGAGGCTGAGGTGAGTGGATTGCCTGAGCCCCCGGGTTCGAGACTTGCCTGGGCAGCGAGACCTCATCTCTACAGTAAATCAAAAAATCAGCCGGGCGTGGTAGTGCATGCTTGTAATTCCGGCTACTCGGAAGGCTGAGGCGGAAGGATCGCCGGAGCCCAGCAGGTCGAGGCTGCGGTGGCCGGGAGCGGCCACTGCACTCCAGTCTGGGCGACAGTGAGACTCCAACTCAAAAAAAAACCCCAAAAAAACAAAAAAACCAAGACTTGCCGGGCATGGTTGCTCATGCCTGTAATCCTAGCACTTTGAGAAGCCAAGGTGAGAGGATTGCCTGAGCCTACAAGTTCGAGACCAGTCTGGGCAACTTGGTGAGACCTCATCTCTACAATAAATCAAAGAATTAGCCGGGCATGGTGGCGCATGTTTATAGTTCCAACTTCTTGGAAGTGTGAGGTAGAAGGATTGTCTGAGCCCAGCAGATCGAGGCTGTGGTAGCCAGGAGCATGCCACTGTTCTCTAGCCTGGACGACAAGGTGAAACTGACTAAAAAAAAAAAAACCCCCAAGACTTGTAATCTAGCTTCATATTTCCCTACTGGATCTCTGTCAGATCAAGTGCTTTGAACACTTGCTCAGGGTTTGGTCACGTTATTTACACTTGTTTTGCTGAGTATCTGAATTGATCTTTCTCTAGCAAGTGGGGAACTCTGGACAAGGACCTTCTCCATCCTCAGTGCCCCAGTCTTTTAGGGCCTAGCTCTGTCAACCAGACTGCTTAAGACGAGCTTCTGGAGTGAGTGGTTCATTCACCGAGGGCTGGGACTGTTTATGTAAGGGGTGGGAAGGGCTGACTCAGACTCTTTAGGGCAATACCAAGAAGTTGGCAAGGATTCAGAGAGCAGAAGTGATCAAATCCTGAGATTTAGAGTCTTCATTTACAGATGAGGAAACTGAAGCCAGAGAAGTGGAATAACTTGCTAGTTGGGAGTGGGGCCAAGTTTCCTGACTCTCAGACGAGTGAGACCCTTAAGGCCGCGAGAGTTGCGTCTGTCTGGAAGGAGAAGGATGCTGGAGTCATCCAGCCTGGAGGTACTTCAGGGGAGGACGGACAGATCAGAGCAGGAATGTGGGACCTGGTGCTATGCCACCTTCCTCCGTGCTCCCACCATCACCACTAACCACCTCCACACACACACACCCATACTTCACTTTCTCAGAGGAGAGCAGGAGCATCAAGGAGAACTTTGTGACTAAGAAGCATGGTTGTGAAATATGGAAATGGACGTGGCCTTTGTGAGGTGCAGAGAACAGAGAGCACTCACATTTCTGGACTCTGTCAACATTGCCCTGTAGTTTTGAGCAGTCTGTGATCAAGCATGGTAGGCATGATTGCTGATCTGATTTTTCAGGTCATGTGATATCTAATGGGGAAAAAGTTAAGAATTTTATTTTATTTTATTTTTTGAGTAGGAGTCTCACTCTGTTGCCCAAGCTGGGGTGCAGTGACACGTTGCTCATAGTCACCACAGCCTCAACCTGCTGGGCTTAGGCGATCCTTTCGCCTCAGCCTTTCATGTAGCTGGAACTATAGGCACACGCCACCATGCCCAGCTAATTTTTTGATTTATTGTAGAGACGAGGTCTCACCAAGTTACCCAGACTGGTCTCGAACCCCTGAGCTCTGGCAATCCTCTTGCCTTAGCCTCCCAAAGTGCTGAGATTTATAGGCTTGAGTTACCATGCCTGGCCTAAGAGTTTTATTTTTAGAAATTATGCAAGACAATTTTTTTTTTTTTTTGAGTTGGAGTCTCACTCTGTCGCCCAGACTGGAGTGCAGTGGCCGCTTCTGGCCACTGCAGCCTCGACCTGCTGGGCTCTGGCGATCCTTCCGCCTCAGCCTTCTGAGAAGCTGGAACTACAGGCGCATGCTACCACGCCTGGCTAATTTTTGATTTATTGTGGAGATGAGGTCTCGCCAAGTTGCCCAGCCGGGTCTCAAACCCACGGGCTCAGGCAATTCACTCACCTCAGCCTCCCAAAGCGCGGGATTACAGGCTGAGCCCAGCTTCCATTATGCTGTTGAAAGTGCTTTCTCAAGGTCACCAGAGCCCTCCAGTTCCTAAGTCCGATGAATTTTATCAGTTCTTCCTGCATTCTAACTTCTCTGTAGTATGACGCTTCTTGAGTGCTTCTGTGATATTCTCTTGACCCTTATTTGCTGTGACAGTACGTAGTCGCAATTCTCCTGTCTTTCTAGCAGTGCCTTTGACTCCTTTGAGACTATCTGTGTCCTTGTGTCCCTTCAACTTGACAATCAGCCCCTTGAAAGGGACTTTTTTTTTTTTGTCAGTCGCACTCTGTCTCTCAGGCTGGAGTGCAGTGGTTCAGTCATGGTTCACCGCAGCCTCAACTTCCTGAGCTCAAGCGATCCTCCTTCCTCAGCCTTCTGAGTAGCTAGGATTACAGGCACACACCACCAAACTCAGCTGATTCTTTAAATTTTTTGTAGACATAGGTTCTCCCTATGTTGCCCAGGCTGGTATCGAACTCCTGGGCTCAAATAGTCCTCCTGCTTTGGCCTCCCAAAGTGCTGGGATTACAGGTATGAGCCACTATGCCTGGCCACCCTTCATATTTAGACTCTCTAGTCTGCACTTGGGAGTTCCTAGCCTAAAAAAATGAGAATTCAGACACAGAAGCAAAGCTAGAAGCAGGATAGATAGAACTGCAGGTGAAGACACTGGGGCTGGAACAGAAGAGGAGTCAATGACGAGGCTCCTTGAAAGAAGCGTAAGCTGGGCTTGGTGGCTCAGCCTGTAATCCCGCCCCTTTGGGAGGCTGAGGTGAGTGGATTGCCTGAGCCCGCGGGTTCGAGACCCGCCTGGGCAGCGAGACCTCATCTCTACAATAAATCAAAAAATCAGCCGGGCGTGGTAGCGCATGCCTGTAATTCCAGCTACTTGGGAGGCTGAGGCGGAAGGATCCCCGGAGCCCAGCAGGTCGAGGCTGCGGTGGCCAGGAGCGGCCACTGCACTCAAGTGTGGGTGACAAGAGTGAGACTCCAACTCAAAAAAAAAAAAAAAGAAAAGAAAGAGAAGTGTAAAGCAGGTGACCGACAGAAGGAAAGGGTAAAGTGAGGCAGGTATAGGATGCTGTTGGGACAGAGAGGAACATCTGAGGGTTCCAAGAAGGAAGAGGGCCCGGGTCTGTGGAAGATGGTAGCAGTCTCTCTACCCAGAGAGGAGGAGTAAGCCAGAGGGCCACATAGATCGTGTCTCACAGAGGACACAAGTTTCAGGCAAGGAACCTGGGCACAGGCCCTTGTTCACTAGAAGGAAGGCATGCCAGTGCAATGGGAGCTCTTGCAATCTCCCGTCTTAAAAACTGACATAGGCCAGGTGCGGTGGCTCAAGTCTGTAATCCCAGCACTTTGGGAGGCCGAGGCGAGAGGATTGCCTGAGCCCACGGGTTCGAGACCAGCCTGGGCAACTTGGTGAGATCTCATCTCTACAATAAATCAAAAAATTAGCTGGATGTGGAGATTTGCACCTGTAGTTCCAGCTAATTGGAAAGTGAGGCGGAAGGATCGCCTGAGCCCAGCAAGTCAAGGCTGTGGTGACTGTGAATGTGCCCTGGCACTCCAACCTGGGCGACAAAGTGAGTCTCCAACTCAAAAAAAAAAAAGGAGGCGAGGCTCGGTGGCTCAGCCTGTAATCCCAGTACTTTGGGAGGCCGAGGTGAGTGGATCGCCTGAGCCTGCGGGTTCGAGACCCACCTGGGGAACTTGACGAGACCTCATCTCTACAATAAATCAAAAATTAGCCGGGCGTGGTAGCACACATCTGTAGTTCCAGCTACTAGGAAGACTGAGGCGGAAGGATCACCAGAGCCCAGCAGGTCGAGGCTATGGTGGCCGGGAGCGGCCATTGCACTCCAGTCTTAGTGACAGAGTGAGACTCCAACTCAAAAAAAAAAAAAAGTAAAAGAGATGACCTACAACTTTACAACTTGTAGATCGAGAGTAAAGACTAATTTATAGCAATGGTGAATATTTGAAGAAATTTCTGCTTTTTTTTTTTTTTTGAGTCAGAATTTCACTCTTTCACCCAGGCTGGAGTGCAGTGGCACACTCACAGCCACCTCAGCCTCGACCTACAGAGTTCAGACGATCCTTCTGTCTCAGCCTTCCACGTAACTGGAACCACAGCACACGCCACTACATCTGGTTAATATTTTTATTTATTGTAGAGATGAAGTCTTGCCAACTTGCTCAGGCTGGTCTCGAACCTGTGAGCTCAGACAATCCTCTCACCTCCGCCTCCCAAAGTGCCGGGATTAGACTTGAGCCATCGTGCCCAGCCATGATTTCTGCTTTTAACCTACTTTTTCACTTTGACCTCTGAAGCATCTTTTGATGTGTCTCTCTTTAGTCACCAAATGTACTTTTCCCTTTCAGGCAGAAGGCCACAAGCTGTACAAGGACCTGAAGAACTTCCTTAGTGCTGTCAAAGGTGGGTATGGCAACACTGGAGAGTCTACGGGGCATTTACACAGCTACTAAAAGATTCAAGGGGTAGAAAAACAGCCGTACCTGAATTTTTTTTTTTGAGTTGGAGTCTTACTCTGTCGCCCAGGCTGGAGTGCAATAGCACACTCACGGCTGCTGCAGCCTCGAGCTGCTAGGCTCAGGAGATCCTTCCACCTCAGCCTTCCAAGTAGTTGGAACTACAGGCGCACACCACCATGCCTGGCTAATTTTTTTATTTATTGTGAAGATGAGGTCTCACCAAGTTGCCCAGGCTGGTCTTGAACCCGTGGGCTCAGGCAATCCTCCCACCTCAACCTCCCAAAGTGTTGGGATTACAGGTGTGAGCCACTGTGCCCGGCCCGTACCTGGTTTTTATTTTTCTTTCTTTTTTTGGTGAGAAAGCAGGAGTTTATTAAGAATAAAAAAAAGCTCCCAAGTGGGAGGGGACCTGAAAGAGAGTTGCCTGTACCTGGGATTTTGATGCCTGTCTGCCCTTGACTCCTAGAACGTTATGGGTAACTTTTCCTGTCCCAGCTACATTTGGCTTCCATCACTCAAGCCTTCTGCATGTGTTCTTCTGAACTTTACCTGCTGATTTGTTACCTGTGTGATTACCCCAAACTTCTTTTGGGCAAGCTATGACAGGATTGGATTCTCTTCTTTCAGTGATGCACGAAAGTTCCAAGAAAGTGTCAGAAACCCTGCAGGAGATCTACAGCAGCGAGTGGGACGGCCATGAGGAGCTGAAGGCCATCGTCGGGGTGAGGGTGGTTTGGGCCTGATGACTTTTCAGCCCTTACTCCTGTTCTCATCTTAGCCTCAGCCTAGCTTCTTCATCCAAGAAAACAGGAAAACAAAGGAGCCAGCTCTCACTGCCCGTTTGTGTAGCCTCAGCCTCTGGGTAGTAGGAAAAAGCTATGGCTGTAAAGGTCAAAACACACTTTCCTCGCTCTGTGGAGCCGTCTGGTTTTGACCCCTGTCCCCTCCTTAAAACCATATGGAAGTTTTACCTCCTGAAGAATGGCTGGTTTTGAAAACTAACGTCATGTAGTTATTCACTCCCGAACCTTCCCACACTCTAAATTCCAGAGTTCGAGGCTTCGACCATGTGTCCTGTTCTGAATCCCTGGATTAAGTGTCCTATAGAGCCATTCATATATAGATCCCAGTGTCCTATAGAGCTGTTCATGGGGCAGGAGCCGTTTCTCTTGTTTCTCTGACTCTCCCCCAGAATCCAAAAAAAAAAAGCATTTTGCAGGGAGCATTTGGCTATTTCCCTTGTAGGCAATTGTGGAGAAGTGGAACCTTCACCAGCTTCTGCTTCTATCCCATAGAATAATGATCTCCTTTGGGAAGACTATGAAGAGAAACTGGCTGACCAGGCTTTGAGGACCATGGAAAACTACGTAGCCCAGTTCAGCGAGATTAAGGTACTTGATATAGCCGGGCTCGGTGGCTCAGCCTGTAATCCCACGCTTTGGGAGCCTGAGGTGAGTGGATTGCCTGAGCCTGCTGGTTCGAGACCCACCTGGGCAGCTTGGGGAGACCTCATCTCTACAATAAATCAAAAAATCAGCCAGGCGTGGTAGCACGTGCCTATAGTTCCAGCTACTTGGAAGGCTAAGGCGGAAGGATCGCCGGAGCCCAGCAGGTCGAGGCTGCGGTGACTGGGAGCGGCGACTGCACTCCAGTCTGGGTGACGGAGTGAGACTCCAACTCAATAAATAAATAAATAAATAAATAAATAAATAAGCAGGTTGAGGCTGCGGTGGCCGGGAGCGGCAACTGCACTCCAGTCTGGGCAACAGAGTGAGACTCCAACTCAAAAAGAAAAAGAAGAAAAAAGAAAATCAGCCCTCGACACAAGGGTTTGTAAAAGATAAATAAATAAAAAAGAAATTGGATAAGTTAGAAGAAGGATTAAGGGTCAAGGCTGGGATGGAGGATTAGCGGTAGTGTGAGGGTTATATTTAAACTTAGATTTAGAGCTAGTTTGGGGCTGGTTTTGAATTAAATCCAAGACACATATTCTTTTTAGCAGTGAGGAAACGGCTGATGGCACTAAGGATGTTTATTATATAGAGGAAGAAACTCAGAGGAGTTGTAATAGTTATCTTCTTGAAAGTCTTGGGTGAAAGAGGAATTCAGTCTATTCTAAACTGTGCATTTATTCATTCAACTAATATTTATCAAACACACTGTGCTGATTTTAGATTAAGCAGAAGAAATTAGAGGGAGTCTGACTTAAGTTTCTAATAGTTAAAGCTTTCCAAAAATCAAATGAAATACAATCTGAGATAGTGAATTATCTGTTCTCTGATCAAGCAAAAGTCAGACTACTACTTATCTTGAATATTATAGAGGAGCGTCATGTACCATATAGGAAGCTGGACCAGATAATTGCCAAGATCTTTTCAGATTCTGTGACTGAAAGAATGAGATTGGCCAGTGATATAGTTTGCTTCTCCTTGGTATATTTTGTAGTTTGGGTAAGATTGAGCAGACATTCTCTCAGTGCTCATAATACCGTCCTGTTTTTACTGTGCCTGCAAGTTTTAAAGCACTTTATATTCAGCATTTGATCTTTAAAATGACACTTGTGGGCCGGGCTCAGTGGCTCAGCCTGTAATCCCAGCACTTTGGGAGACTGAGGTGAGTGGATTACCTGAGTCTGTGAGTTTGAGACCAACCTGGGCAACTTGACGAGACCTCGTCTCTACAATAAATAAAAAATTAACCAGGTGTGGGAGCGCGTGCCTGTAGTTCTAGCTACTTGGAAGGCTAAGGCGGAAGGATCACCGGATCCCAGCAGGTCAACACTGGGGTGGCCGTGGGCGTGCCGCTGTACTCCTGCCTGGGTGAGAGAGTGAGACTCCAACTAAAAAAAAAAAATGACACTTGTATAGGGCAGACAAGGCTACCAAGACTCCAAATGAGGTGTGCCTTGCCATCGGCCACAAGACTGACTAATGGCCGATTTGGGACTAAGACTCAAAGCTCCAGACTTTGCATTTAGTGGGATTCTTGAGGCCATTTCTCCTGGAGGTTGAACTCATTTATAACAGGTTCATAGGAGGCTGGGCTCGGTGGCTCAGCCTATAATCCCAGTGCTTTGGGAGGCTGAGGTGAGTGGATTGCCTGAGCCCACGGGTTCGAGACCCACCTGGGCAACTTGGCGAGACCTCATCTCTACATAAATCAAAAAATGAGCCG